GATATCGGTATTATGTTATGTTTGTTGATGATTGTACTCATTGATGTTGGATTTATCCACTTGTGAATAAATCCAAGGTTTTTGGAATTTTTGTTCAATTCTATGCATATATTTCCAACTATTTTTCAAAGTCTATAAAGATATTACAGAGTGATAGTGGTGGTGAGTTCATTAGTAAAGTGTTTCAAGAATTTCTTGCATCTAAATGCATTCAACACATGAAATCATGCCCATACACTCCACAACAAAATGAGATGGCGGAGAGAAAGCATCGACACTTGGTTGAAACAACTATTACTCTTCTTTCTGCAGCCTTATTGCCTCTGAAATTTTGGTTTCATATTGTTCTATAGCAAACTAACTTATTAATCGGATGCCAGCCAAAGTTCTGGATATGAAGTCTCCTTTTGAGAAGCTTTTTGGTCTACTTCCTAATGTTACTACTTTTAAAGTTTTTGGTAGTGCTTGTTATCCACTATTGTGATCATATAATCACAATAAGTTGCAAAGATAGGACTAACCAATGTATGTTTATTGGGTATACTCTGGATCACAAAGTCTACATGTCCTATCATATTGCATCTGCAAGGGTTTATGTATCAAGGCATGTTATTTTTGATGAAGGAGTGTTTCCTTTTGCATTAATTAAGGCCATTGATCCTACATTGATGACTAGTTCATTTTTCAATCCTATTACTCCTATGTGTGCTGCTCTAAGGCCTTTAGAAGCTACAAATTTGACTCATATCCATATGCAGTTGTAAACACGAAAAATTCCTGAAACAAGAGACAAGAACACGTGTACAAAATATATTTTTGTATTAATGATTTTTTAGGGTTACAATCTCTTTGTAATTTGGTCCTCTGATTCTATCTTCGTAGGGTGTAGGTTTGTGGATGAGTTGTTGATCCAAAGGGCCGTCGGGGCTTGATCTAAGGATGAACAGTTGATGAATGGATCTTCAAGGGGCGTTGGGCTTGATCTTGAAGAACAGGTGTATGAGTTTGTTGAGGTTGTTGATCCAGAGGGCCATTGGGGCTTGATCTTAGGATGAACGGATGATGAATGATGAACACTTTCTTCAAGGGGGCCGTCGGGGCTTGATCTTGAGTTGGTGGAAGTTCTTCAAGGGCCGTTGGGGCTTGATCTTGAATGAGGATTTGACGAAGAACGAAGAATGCTTTCTTGATCCTCTGGGATTTGCTTGAGAGCTTTAGAGTTTCAAGGCTTCAAGGTTTTGGTGTAATGTAAATTTCTCTTCCTTTCCTTCTCCCAAAATGAATGCCTTGGCTTCCTATTTATAGAATTCCAAAACTTGATTTTTGGATTTAAATAATCAGATGAAATAAATCATTTCTGCCAGGTATTGACACGTGTCCTATTTGATGACTTTTCCAATTTATTTCGATTTTTCGTTGAGTCACACGCTACATGTAAAATTTATGTGACACGTGAGCGTTGAAATTTTAATTATTGGTCAACATTCATTTCACCGAAATTTTGATGTCTACAAATGCCCCCACTTCAAGGCGCGTCGTAGACATGTGCTTGTCACGTGTAGAAGATGCGTTTTGAAGTCCCTTAATGTAGATGTCAACCCAAGGGCCGTCGAGGCTTGATCTTGAATTGGGCTGGAAATTTCTTCAAGGGCCATCGAGGCTTGATCTTGAGCTGGGCTGGAGGATTCTTTTGGTCTCCTCCGAAGGTCTGAACTTACTCCTTTTATCTGGAGTTGAATTTGATTCAAGGGTGGTGAACACTTGATTTTGAATCGGACTTGTGATTTCTTCAAGGGCCGTTGAGGCTTGATCTTGAATTGGAAATAAGACCATGACTGGTTTCAGGATTCAGACACATGGCAGGCAAGCACGAGGTGGAGGTGATGACCTGTTTCTTTGTTCAATCTTTCCAATTCGTATTGAAGAGTACAAATTAGAAAGATTGATTTTTTATTGTCACTCGTCTTAGCTGTTCTCCAAGCAGATGTGGTCCCTTCTCTGGAAGTGTATCAACCGTTGAAGATGACTACTCGAGAGCAATGCTAGGTAAGCAACCAGGGAATAGGTTCCAGGTAGTCGGTTCCAGATCGGCAGACTGACTCCAAGTGCCGGCTGATTGCTCTTTTCACTTTGTCATGCGAGTAAGAACAAGGACAAAGGAAAGGATATGGAGGAAGCATGATATGAGATACCTTTTCTTTTGAAGAAGCAGCGAATGAATCAGCATATATATTTGTTATGCTTGTCTCCACATGCTTCGATGTATCATTTTCACTTGCCTTACTTGCTCCCTTTGCAGAAGTGATATTTCCTTATGTAGGTTTAGCATCTTCTCTTGTAGTATTTGTCCTCTGATACAGGAGTGGAATGCAAACCTTGCATTTGAATGGACCATCACTTCTTGGTGGCAGCGCAAGTTTGAGTGGAGGTTCCGACATATTGCTTTCTCTGTCCTTGTCTTGGCAGGTGAGAACAAGGGCAAAGGAAAAGACAGGGAAAAAGCATGATATGAGATACCTTTGCTTTCGCCCTTGATGATATGAGATACTTTTGCTTTTGAAGAAGCAGCAAATGAATCAGCACATATATTTGTTGTGCTTGTCTCCACATGCTTCGATCTACCGTTTCCTCCTGCCTCATCTGTACTCCAGGCATCTGGTATCTTCTTTGGGGAATACATCAATGGTTGAATATGTGTTCTCAAGGGAAGAAGAAAACTGAGCATGCTTGAGAGGTTTGGTTGCAGCTACATTCTCGGTCGAGAAGAAAAGTCATGCGTTTTTGGGTGTATGCCTTGCCATGAATGTGGATGTATATAGGAATTGTAATGGCAAGTAGTAGTGCGGATGTGGCAATGACCTCCGCGAGTCTTCAACTTTGTCAGAGATCTTTTGACAAAGTTGCACGCGTTATCTGAAAAGCCGAGATTGCGGCTTTATCACCCACGCTTGTCGGCAACCTCCACGCGTCTTCAACTTTGTCAGAGATCTTTTGACAAAGTTGAACGCTTTATCTGAAAAGCCGAGAGACCTCCACGCGTCTTCAACTTTGTCAGAGATCTTTTGACAAAGTTGAACGCTTTATCTGAAAAGCCGAGATTGTGTCTGAAGAGTTGGCGACCTTTACGCAGGAAAATCCGGCTTTGAAGAGTGGTGTCTCTTCAATTCTGAATCGGTGGTTGTGTCGCCTCTCCTTTTATAGAGGTGATCGATCACCTCTAACATGCACACTTTGAAGATTGCCCATTCGTGAACATCGTCTCCGGCCCGTTGAAATTTTACTCCATCCAACCCTTCTCTTTTAACTTCTTGAAAAATGGCTAACTCTTCTAACCCATCTAACCTTTGCTGAGATTTGAGTCTCAGCAGTGATCCGGTTGCGCCTCGTCAGGGTAAGGTATGGTGCCCGTCTTTCTTATCTTCTCATGGCCCTCTTACAGGTGAAGACTCTGTGATGACGGATGCAACAACAGCTACGATAGTAGCTCGGAACCTCCTCACTCCCAAAGATAGTCAGCTACTTTCAGGACGGTCCGATGAGTTGGCCGTTCAAGAGTCCCTGGCTCTCAGTGTTCAGTGCGCGGGCTCTGTGTCCAACATGGGCCAACGCCTACTTGCTCGCTCCCGTCAGGTTGAATCATTGATGGCAGAGGTGGAAAATCTCAAGCAAGAGATCAAACAGCTTAAGCACGAGAATAGAAGTTTGCACGTGCTTGCAAATAATTATTCGACAGGCATGAAGAGGAAGCTTGATGAGATGCAAGAATCTCAAGGTCGAATTCAAAGTGACCGTCAAAGGCTTGCGTCTTTCTTTTAGAGGCACCTTTTTCCTGCGTCATCTAGCGTTCCACCAAGTATTGGGGCCTCGAATGATCTATCATCGGTGCCTCCCGCTCCTGGAGTTTGGCCAAGTAGTGGGGCTTCACGTGAACAACCTTTGGGAAAGCTCCAACTTTTTTTTTTTTTTTTTTTTTTTTTTTTTTTTTTGTACGCACTTGTAATTTCTTGGAGATTAATGGACATGCTTTATTTTATTCAGTGTATTGTGCTAAATACAGATAAAACATATACATCACCGTCCATCATCATTCATTTTTATTTTATTTTATTTTATTATTATTTTTTTAGTCTTTTCTTTGCTTTCGGTGGCGCTGATCCACCATTCATTTATATATATATATTTCAGATGGTGCCAGAAGCACCACCATTGTTTTTTTCTTTTTTTTATTATATATATTTTTTTCTTTTTGCACATGGTTCCAGAAGCACCATCATTGTTTTTATTATATTTTTTTTTCTTTTTAATTTTTTACTCTTCTTTTCAAAATGGGCTGATGGATTCCACCATTATCTTTCTTTATAATTTTTTTTTATGTCTTCCACCATGAAAGACTTGATAATTTTTTTTATTATTTTTTTTTTACATGGTGCCGTCCACCATCATTTTTTTTTTTTTTTTGTTTTTTGCATGGTGCTGTCCACCAAGATTCCATCATTTTTTTTTCTTTTATATGGTGATCTGGAAGGCTGAGTTTGTGGGTGAAAACCCAGGCCGAGTCCGAGAGAAGACGGAGGAAGAAGGGGTGTACGTGCTGCTGAAGCTGATCGGTAGAAGGAGATGGCTCGCAGAGGAGGACGAAGACGGACAGAGATCTTTGGGTGTGAGTTGACAAACTTTGGTTTTGTTGATCACATTCAAAGGCAGCAGCCATGGCGGAGGTGTAGAAGCAGCCAGATCTTGAGGCAGAGTGTAAGGCGTCGAGTTTGAAGACCGGCTAGTCGTTTGACAGCGGTTAATGAAGCTCTTCGTTGATTTTGATCATGGTGACCAGGGTGACGAGCTTGAGGTTTGTTGGTAGTAGCGGGGAGACAGAGGAAGAAGCCTTTCCTCCTGTTTTGCCATGGAAGATGAACCTCCAGAATCCGAAGCTCCACTACTAGTACCGATGAGCACAGCCATTGAGCACAGCGACGAGCACAGTCATAGCAGTGAGTTCCCAGCTATCGCCCCTTTCCACCAACATGAAGGACGAAAGCCATCAAAATAGCCAACGGAATTCCAACCAAGTAGTACGCCCCGAGATTCACATATGCTCCAATCTTCTGCCACCCACATCCTCTAGCAGTGCCCGAAAGAACACACTGGAGGCTGTCTAGAAAGTTGGATGTTGCAAGTATAGGCATTATGGTTGCAAGGTAATCGATAACTTCTCTTTCGTTGCTATAAGCGTAGCCCCAGAAGTTGCGTATCAGTATCAGGACCGATCCCACCAATATACCCTCGGTAATGGCCATGACTAACACAACGCACACTGCTAAGCGCGCTGTTTCTGGACGCCCTGCTCCTAATTCATTGGAGACACGAGTGCTCACAGCAGAACTGAGTCCGAAAGGGATCATCCAAACCATTGCCGCTGTATTCAAACTGATAAAAAGCACTGAGGTTTCCAACTCCGGGTTTGGAAGAAGACCGGATAGAAGAACAATCATTTCAAACGACCACATTTCCAAGCAAACCATGACGGCTGAAGGACGACGAACAACAGTTGAATTTGAGTGAAGTGGAAGCCGGAGACTTGATGAGCTGGTGGTTTTGAAGAATCCCAGATGAAGACACAGTCAAGTTTGGACTGTTATCTTCGTTCAAGATCGCGCTTGAGTCACTGTCCGAAGAGCCATCTTTGAAATCTGGGAACAGTGAAACGGCTTCTAGTACTCCACTTGTGTTGTTTAAGCTCTCAAAGTTGAGCTCTTTGCATTCAGTTTCTGGAACGGAGGATCCCGGAGGTGGTGAGAGAAGGTGGTGCTCTTGCGATTGGGCATATGTTAAAGGCATAAACATAGCTGGGTTCTGTGTAGACTGAGCTTGGTTTTGGTTAATTACCATCTGGGGATTGAAAATCTGAGGCTTCTCTTCCAGACCCATGTTCTGTTGCCGCTGAAACATGCCGGAAGACAGCGAAACCGGAAAAGGATTACTCATTGAAGCAGAGAACATTGTAGGGTTTGGTCTCACATTGCTGCTCTGAGTCTCAACATTTGAGGCATTATTACTGAAATTAAAATCAGGACCAGAACTTGCGTGCAGAGAGGGGCTAACCAAACCCCCAGAATGATCATCGGGTTCGAAGCCGCCGCCGTATCCTCCGCCTTGATCCACCACATCCTGAAACCCTCCGCAGCCGAATTCCAAATTTTGGTGGTGATGATCAGAGCCGCTTGAACTCTGCAGCAGCGTGTTTAATCCGAGAGAGGGGTCTTCGATGTCACTCATAATCAACCTCAGGATGGACTGCTCTTGACCCGGGGACTCAGACAGAACGCTCTCCCAGTCCTCCATGCCGAGCGACGGGCCGCATTTTTGTTCCTCTAAGGGTGTTTGAGATGGGTTTTCGACCCCCGCCGCAGTGGTTGTGTCTGTCGAGCCACCACTAGCTCCGCTGCCGTGGGAGGAAGACAGTGTTGAGGAGGATGTGGGCGGGCTTGGGCTTCTTCTGGTGTCGAGAACAGAGGTGGGCTCAGTGCTGCCCACATAGCAATTCTCTTTGCTGTTGTGGTGGCGGTGAATCCACTTTTGCGGCGGCGATGAAAGAAATGAATCTGAAGCAGCAGCAGCAGCAGAAGAAGAAGAAACAGAAGTGAAATCTAGCACCCCCTTCCCTTGAAACTCCTCAAAGGGTAGGGGCATGGTCTTCATCTAACAAAATCAACACTCCTACAAATCTCCTCAAACCAAAAAAAACACAAAAATCTCCAGTTTTTCTTCAAAAACAACAAAACCCACAACCCCAGAAGCACAAATTACAAATAGGTTGAACTCAAATTTACAACCCCAGAGAGCTCAATGCTAAAAACCCCAAAAACAAAAACTCATTTTTTTTTTTTTTTTGGTTTTTTTTTTAGTCCAGATTCTGGGTCAAACAGAGACTACCCAAGTACATGCTCAGTTGTTGAAACGAAATCTCTCAGCACCCAAAAGCACTTTTAGCTGCTGCTGATGCGGCTTCCGCTGTTCTGCTAGCTTAATGGCTTTTGTTGTTGCAGAAAAAGCTTTTGCATTTGAAGCAAACAGGCCTCGGGGCTCAAGACCCACTTTTGGAACCATCTTCTTTCTTCATTTCTTCTGTCTGTGTGGGTTTGGGCGTTTTTGTGGGATTATTTTTTTTTATTTTTTCTCGTTCTTTCTCCTCTGCTGCTTCTGGTTTGCCTTGAGCCTTGAGGATTGAGGGTTTGAGGGGAGTAGTGCTACTTCGTCTTCCTTCTTTTGTAATTAGACTTGGCAATCTTGAGGCTCTTGTGAACAGCACTCAACCTTGCAAGGGCTACTTTTTTTCAGATCCGGCCTGTAATGGTTATCCGCCACCTGATTCGCAACCGCCTTGGCCATCCTGCGAAACTCCTGCTTCATCACAGACTTATGCAACAGAGCAGCGGGCTTGTTCTGCTTCTTGGTCTTACTTGTCGCCAGCAGCACAGATTGATCTTTGCCCACGCCCTGAATGGTCACGGTTTTCTTGTTTGCCAACCAAGAGTGCTTGTAAGAGTGGAGATTGAGGAGTGTTGGGCTCCTTGGTAAACCGCACGCCGGCGTGACCCCTCCTGAACTCCTTCACTAGAAAAGAGTTGTTCTTCTTCACTATCTCCCATATCAGTTGCCCTGGAACCGTCGCCATCTCCGAAATTTTGATTCAGCTGCTCAGATTGGGGATTTAGGGTTTACGGAAGAGAAGCTGCCTTTGGACTTTGATGAGGGCCTGGATTTGTATATATATTGTATATATTTCCTTCTGTTTTTTTTTTTTTTTTTTTTGAAGTAGAGAATATATATATATTTTTTTTCTAATACATAGTAACATATGTATTTTTTTTTTTTTTGTAATAAAATTGACTTTCTTTAATGAAACATTTATTTATTTATTTTGATGTGACTGTACTTGAAGTTTTGAAGTTTCAAGTTGCCTACGTACTCTTCCAAAGAAGAGATCAAGTCATAACGTAGTTCAAATGAGTGATGGTTTTGATGATGATTTTGCCGTACACAGTTTATGCTCTTGCGGGCCAGGAGCGTTTGGTGCCGTTTGCAGTTTCAGCTCGTGCAGGCAAGGAGCGTTTGGTGCCGTTTGCAGTTTTAGCTCGTGCAAGCAAGGAGCGTTTGTTGTCACCTTTTAGGCTCGTGTGAACAAAGAGCTCTTTGAATTTGTCAAACGATCTTAGAGAAGCATTCCTTGCAATCTTTATAGCAAGGAGTCTTGACTGAGTGATTGAAGAAGTCTTTGGGGAAGAAATCGCGCATCGTGATGGCAACGGACGATCTTTGTGTCATAACTTCATCATCCTCAACACTTTCATGTAGCTTTGAAGGTTGACGTTGGCTGCTTTGCCCCCTTTCCGATTGGTGAACTTGTGGAGGAGACCTATGTTTCTTGTGCATTTTCTTTGGAGTGACATAAGTCCATCCTTTAACTTCACTTGACTTGACTGACATGGTTTTGGAGCATGCCCCCAACGGTTGAGGTGAAGATTTTGAGTTCAAAGAGCCAGAAGTGACGGTGGTATAGTTTGACTTCGACACATCATTAAGATCTAGCTCGATGATCCCTTTCTGAGCCAACTTCATGATGAGATCTTTTAGCACAAAGCACTTTTCCGTCGGATGACTAATGAAGCGGTGGAATTTACAGTACCTTGGACTGTCAGTACGGTTCATATCTTTTGGCCGTTTGCACTCAGGTAGGTCGATCACCTTTTTGTCAAGCAAGTCTTTCAACATGGCAACCACGTCAGAGTCGGGGAATGGATAAGTCTTCTCTTCAAGCTCCTTCAAAGTGCGTCTACGTATCTCTTGATCACGAAAAGCTTCGGTTTGAATCGCCTTGCTTCGTGTATGGATTTTGACTGGAGTTGTGTTGACCGTTATTGCTTCCTTGGTGGGTTTCCACGTAGCCTTATCCACCTTTGGCCCCAAAACTTTGTCATTCTTGTAGTCGGCGATTTGTTCTTTCTTCCCATGACGGGTGATGCTTAACTCCATATCATGGGCGCGGGTGGCTAACTCCTCAAATGGTCGTGGTTTGATGCCTTGAAGGATGTAGTGTAGTCCCCACTGCATGCCTTGAACGCACATCTCAATGGCAGAGGTTTCAGAAAGCCGATCTTTGCAATCCAGACTTAAAGAACGCCATCTATTTATGTAGTCGACGACAGGTTCATCTTTCCACTGTTTCGTGCTGGTCAGCTCTAGCATGCTTACAATACGACGAGTGCTGTAGAAACGGTTGAGGAATTCCCTTTCTAGCTGGTCCCAACTGTTGATAGACTCAGGTTCGAGGTCAGTGTACCAGTCAAAAGCGTTACTTTTCAGCGAACGCACGAACTGTTTGACGAGGTAGTCTCCCTCTGTCCCAGCATTGTTGCAAGTTTCAATGAAATGGGCGACATGTTGCTTTGGGTTGCCTTTTCCATCGAACTGCATGAATTTTGGGGACTGATAACCCCTTGGCATCTTCAAAGCATCAATCTTCTTGGAGTAAGGCTTTGAGTACAGTACGGAGTCATGCGAGCTTCCTTCGTACTGTGTCTTGATAGTGCTTGCGATCATCTCCTGTAGCTGCTGGATAGAGAGAGATCCCATGGATGCCGTTGCTTGGTCTAGCTTCGGCTTCTCTTCAACTTTCTCCGCTGGTGGCTCCTCTTCTTCGTCGACTTCTTTCTCTAATAGGCCAATATTTGGGTCGACTTTCACGTCGGGCAGCGCATCTAGTTGGTTGACAAGTGTGGCAATCTGCAAGTCCTTCTCTTCCACAGTCCGTGTGAGCTTTGCAATTGCTTCATTCATCTGAGCTATCTGCTCCTCGATTGAAGTTGCTTCTGTGGTCATGACTTGCATGGTTGTACTGCCGCTCGAATCAGCGTCGGAGAGTAGGGACTCTGAGTATTTCCTCGGGCTTTCCCCCCTTGATGCCCTTAGCGAGGCTAGGGTGATCACAGGCTCGTACCTCAGGTGCTCTTGTTCCTTTGACAGAGTTAATGCAGGGGCGGAAGCCGCGGCAAAAAGATCTCTTGCCTTAGTTCGGGTTATGATGCCCGAAATATCACCACTTGCGGCGATGATGTTATTGTTCTTTGCTTTGATTGCAGGAACAACTTGATCCTTTCTTGATGCCATTTGCGTTTTTCGATGATTTGAGGATAGAGATGAGAGGTAGAGATAAATCCCACCGGGCGTGCCAAATTTGTAAACACAAAAAATTCCTGAAACAAGAGACAAGAATACGTGTACAAAATATATTTTTGTATTAATGATTTTTTAGGGTTACAATCTCTTTGTAATTTGGTCCTCTGATTCTATCTTCGTAGGGTGTAGGTTTGTGGATGAGTTGTTGATCCAAAGGGCCGTCCGGGCTTGATCTAAGGATGAACAGTTGATGAATGGATCTTCAAGGGGCGTTGGGCTTGATCTTGAAGAACGGGTGTATGAGTTTGTTGAGGTTGTTGATCCAAAGGGCCGTTGGGGCTTGATCTTAGGATGAACGGATGATGAATGATGAACACTTTCTTCAAGGGGGCCGTCGGGGCTTGATCTTGAGTTGGTGGAAGTTCTTCAAGGGCCGTTGGGGCTTGATCTTGAAGGTTGATGGATAAGCGGATCTTCAAGGGCTTTTGGGCTTAATCTTGAAGAACGATTGGATGTGTGGATTTGTTGAGGTTGTTGATCCAAAGGGTCGTTGGGGCTTGATCTTAGGATGAACGGATGATGAACGATGAATACTTTCCTCAAGGGCCGTCAGGGCTTGATCTTGAGTTGGTGGAAGTTCTTCAAGGGCCGTTGGGGCTTGATCTTGAATGAGGATTTGACGAAGAACGAAGAATGCTTTCTTGATCCTCCGAGATTTGCTTGAGAGCTTTAGAGTTTCAAGGCTTCAAGGTTTTGGTGTAATGTAAATTTCTCTTCCTTTCCTTCTCCCAAAATGAATGCCTTGGCTTCCTATTTATAGAATTCCAAAACTTGATTTTTGGATTTAAATAATCAGATGAAATAAATCATTTCTACCAAGTATTGACACGTGTCCCATTTGATGACTTTTCCAATTTATTTCGATTTTTCGTTGAGTCACACGCTACATGTAAAATTTATGTGACACGTGAGCGTTGAAATTTTAATTATTGGTCAACATTCATTTCACCGAAATTTTGATGTCTACAGCAGTCTGATGATACTTCTAGAGTGGTATAAAATACACTTGATTCTTCCATGCATATTAGCTCTAATATTCCTCCTCCAGTCAATCAAGATTCACAACCTCCAATTGTTCATACTATTCTAGAGAATCATTCTGGTGCTTCCATGTCTTCTGCATCCACTACTTTAATTCCTCACAATCACCATCCTATGATCACTCGAGCAAAGTCAGGAATTACCAAGAAACGCACATTTCTTGTCTCTATTTCTCCTGATCCTAGTGTTGTTGAACCCAAGACATATCAACAGGCCATCAAAGTTCCTAAATGTTATAAAGCAATGCAAGAAGAATACCAAGCTCTTCAACAACAACATACGTGGTTTCTTGTTCCACTTCTTGCGTCAAGGAGCTTAATTGGTTGTAAGTAGGTTTTTAAACTCAAGAAGAACGCTGATGGTTCAATATCTAGACACAAAGCCCGATTAGTTGCCAAAGGTTATTTGCAAAA